TCCAGGTACCCCCACCCCTATTACCCTACCCAACCTGGATACCCGTTATGTTAATTCTTCACATCAAATTTGTAAGAAATGTCAATATTTTCTTCAGCTCGGAGGCTAAAATGTTGATTTTTTTTCAATATCTTAATCATGTATTATATTCAAAAGAGGTGAATGTAATTATGTCTAAATCTTCAATGACAATATAACCTTTTAATCAAGAAAGAGTAACATATTACATTGTTTAATCTATTAGTCATCATCATCGGGTAACAGGTGAGACGGGTACCCGGGTCCAATCCATTATCCACCCGTCCCTTGTATCCGGGCCCGTCCCAGCCCTACTTTAAACATCACCTTGTTCGATAAGGACCAACTTTATGGATGAACAACTTCTTTATTCAGGTTGTTCATCCATAACGTTGGTCCTTATCAGACTCTCCAACTTTCAGAAATGCCACTCAAGGAACACCTTGTTCACCTGTAGGAGGATCGCCCAGCCTAGTTTCATCATTTCATCCACACCACCTGCTTTCATAGTTTGAGTTTGAGCCAGACTTTTCTTTTTTTCTCTGGTTTACACATTTCTTTTTGACCAAAGATTCAGTTCAATAGAAAAAATTATAATAAATAATAACAATCCAATTTAAAATATTCTATTTAATATTCTTATGTTAAGTAGGCAGCTATGTATGTGGTTGGATATGGTGAAGAGAATTTAGAGTTACCTCCCTTCTGTATTGTATGTCACATTTCATGAAGTGTTTAGAAATTCTTAAGATGAATTTCCAACAGGTTTTAACTGTAGTTGAATGATTTATTCATATTAATAGTCCCAGTAAATGAGCATGTTATTTAAAAACTTATTGTGAGCACGATGAAAACACACTGCTTTTCATTTTATAATACTGTTTCACATTTTAAGGATCTGGAGACAGTGCATTTGTAAACCAGTTTTAAAAAAAGAAGTCTGGCCTTATCTTCAACAGTTAGATATGAAATAACAAACACAAGGTGACTCTTACTAACTAGAACCTACACTGTTTACACAACAACCATGTGCAGGTCGACAGCAATGTGGTTTGGGACATTACCACCTTATCTAGTAACTAACTATGCTTGAATTGGCAAACTTGCAATGCACATAACAATTTGTGTAACGACATGAAACTACCAAACTAATTTTTATTGTTTGCCCTACAATATTACTATACTGTTAGGAATGATAGAAAAATACCAATAATATCACCAAAAGTATAACAATCGATAGTTTCAAAAGTTGAAATTAGTTCATATTTTATGCATTTCAAACCTGCCTGTTTGGTTGAATAGCTGGGATTACGCCAACTTCAGATTAGAGTTACTTCCCCTAGGTTTGAGTAGCAACAGAGAGGAACATGGCCCTGTTGACCATGTTGACAACTATCGCAAACCCATTGCTATGGTGTGGCAACTATTGCAATACAGTTGCAATAGTGAAGATAACTGGCATAGTCACCCCTACATGACAATATTGCACTACCAGTGATACACTGGACCAAGGAGACGCTCTTAAGAACACGTGCCCCTCTTGCCTTTCAAAGACTAGTTTAACTTACTTTCATGTGACATTAAACAATACCACAAGTAACAATCTTACTCAAAGATCATGCACAAGAACTTACCTGAAAATATGTAAAAGTTAATTCTTTACAAATAATATCAAAAATAGTAATTTCATCTTTTGTACATTTGTAAAAAGAGGTATTCCATTCCAGGGGATTAAGAGCCCTCTTATGGCGCTAGTTAGAGAATCAGTCCTTATATAGGGCCACACAAAACAATGAATTGTATCGGCCTACTTTTGTATACTACGCAAAACAAGTCAAAGACCACCTGAATCTTTCATATTAATAGAGTCAATCTGTCATGGTATAATAGTGAGTCAGTGAATGAGTGTATTTTTACGCCGCTTTTTAGCAGTATTCCAGCAATATCACGTCCAGGGGCACCAGAAATGGGCTTCATATATTGTACCCACATGGGGAATCGAACCGGGTCTTCCGCTTGACAGGCGAATGCTTTAACCACAAGGCTACCCAACAGCCCCTTGGTATAACTGACTGACTGACTGACTGAGTTTGGTTTTACGCCGCTTTTAGCAGTATTCCAGCAATATCACGGCGGGGGGCACCAGAAATGGGCTTCATATATTGTACCCACATGGGGAATCGAACCGGGTCTTTGGCGTGACAGGTGAATGCTTTAACCACAAGGCTACCTAACAGCCCCATGGTATAACAGATAAGCTACAGTAATATATATGACATAACTGGGTGGTCATTTTGTCATATTATGACAGACTCGCAACAGTAATATGAAAGCGTCAGGAAATCCCTAACCTCTTTTGAGAAGAGTATGTGTAACATTAGCACTTGTAGCAAGGCACAGACGTTTGATAAATTGTGCTCTGTTCAGACATGTGCCATCAGACTTGCTGTATCTGAGTGTTCTATCCACTATACAGCAACTCTTTGACAAGCAGCTGACATTAACAGGAACGTCATCTGATGTTCTATGGAACATATTCAGAAGAATGTTACTCTAACTGAAGGGAAACCCTAAAACGATCAAATCATCTACACAGAAAGCTTCTGTCACCAACACATATTTCCACTTCATGAATTAATAGTTCCAGAAGGCATTAAGATATATAACAAGTCTGAACTTCAAAAAGATAAATAGTAACAATATCACATCAATTTATTTTTGAAAGTGATGTAAAAGTCAATAAATAGTTGTATCTTATACACAATTCATTAACAATTTTTAAAAATAAACTTATGTTCTTAAAAGACAAATCAGAGTCAAAACGATAAAGGATTCATGTTACAAAGCTAATACCTTACAACAGTCTAAACACAGGTTCGTCAACAAGAAGATCATCTGCTAAGCTGCTGCAGAACATTGATCAGGGCGGTCAACTTAACAACACTGACATCCCACCTACCTCCCATAGTACAAAGTAGGCAAAACAAGTATTCACCAGGAGCCATAATCTCCCTTCTCCTCTTCCCTTAAAAGATCTCATGTTTCTGGTTTCAACATTTTCAAACTGGTATCTGGTCATTCTTTCCAGATCATAAACAAGGGCAGATAACTCTAATTAGCCAACCTAAAAGCAAAAACAGTAACAAACTTTCAAGCTATTAAAAACCATGACTGATACATTTGGCAAGATTTAAAACATTTGAAAAATCATCATACCTTAAAAACGAAACCAAAAACCAGGAACATGAGACGTGTCGATTGATAAAATTTGAAGGTATCCTAAAGGTGCAAGATCAGATTTTATAAGTTTCTTCATGTGATTTCCTTTTGATTTTGGAACATGAATCTCAAATTGTGACATTTACTTCCACAGCTTGGTGATAAAATATTCTTATTCAGGCCAGGTATGTCCTTCAGCCAAATTCAGATACATCCTGAGATATTGCAGTAATCAAGCATCTCCACACTATCTGACCAAGGCTGATCCAAAACCATCCTGATGCCAATCTAATAAGACAGGTTATCAGATCTTGCAGCTGTTGATCAAAGAAATACAAAGTCTCCAAACACAATCCAAGCCTCCACAGAATATCAACTGATTGGTCTGTTATCAACTATTTCTTCATTACAATATGCCAAATCCAAACCTATTCTCAATCAACTAAAATCTGATCTCGTAGCTTTAGTAAGGAGCAATATGCAATGACAATGTAAAAGTGTAAAATCTTTGCCTTTCCAATATCTTCATTCTTCCCTGATTCTCAGCAAATCCATGATACCTTATAAGGGATATGCCAACAAGCACAGATAAGGCACTATACACAGTCAATAATCAAACAAAGAGTGGGTGGCAAGGTATTACATAGATATTTACAAGACTTATCTCCCTTATATAACAAGACTCCTACAGCCACTAGGGGGCAGTGTTAGGAGAGAAGCTTGACCTTGAGCAGTGTGTGAAACAGCCATGTGCCTGCTGAGTCATGTCTAGCCAAAAATCAGTTCGACTAAAGATTTTGATATTTCAACAATCTACTGAATTCTTAATGTGATTTTTATATGCAAATCTATAATGTTCTCCCAATTCTTTAGATCAATATGAAAATACAAAATGAAATTAATATCCAGGCGCAGAGTTATCTCCCTTCACAATATTTGACTTATGACTTAGGGTTTATATAAACTTATTAATACCTTCTCAGAATATAATATTTATAAAAATCCCCACATTTTTCTGCTAGTAAAACTGGCTAGTATGTTTCATGACTAGCTAGCAATATTTTGAGACTATTTCACACACTAGCCTTGAGAAGCTTCATGTTGCCTTTGTGAAGATCTCATTATGATCATGGTATAAATAGATATAGAAAGAGTTGAAAGCACGAGATGAAAACTGTTAATTTACAACAGATGAGGTCATAGACAGGTAGATATTATGCAGCATTAGCAAAAATTCCCTGCAGACTTTTAACCAAATGTATGACATATTGTAAGTGAACATACCAGTGTTGAACAGTTTCAATGTCCTGATCAGAAGTTTTAATTTGTAAACCAGTTACTATAGCTACAGTCCGTTTGAGTCAGAAACGGACTGATGAATTGCAAATTTTATCATTGTACAAAATTGCCACATAAATATAAATAGTACACATGTTTATCATTTACGAATACCCAACAGTTGTTTTATATTTGAAAATTAAACAACTATTTTTGGTGGAGTGCCGGACAAAATTTTCATATATGGAAGAAAAGCACAGGCTAATGAATGTTGGTGGGCACTTATGCGTGCTTCTCTAAATGAACAAAATTGAACTGTGTAAAATTTTAATATAGTTTTTACTTTTGGTGGAGTCCAGAAAATGTTCATATACCGTATTGTTGGGTACAGTGAAATGATAAACATGTGTAATTTAATGTGGCAATTCATCAATGATAAAAATTCTGATTCATCTCAAATCTGACTGTACAATGGACTGTACAATGGTGAGAAATGAAGTCAAGGGGAGACAACTCATGTAAACACTTCACAGGGCACCAGCTCCCACCAAATCTTAGATATGTGTTCTAGGAGTAAGACACTAACAATACATTAAAATGGAATAGATTCTGAAAAAAAAGCAACATATCATTTATAAACCATGACCACGGGTCATTATCACAGATCCTCTAATCATCAATAACAATAGTATCAGTCCGTATTCGTTTGGTGGAACCATTTTTCGATTTGTCTTCAGCATTAGTTCTGGAAGAGGGGAATGTGTTAGCAATGATTATACAATCGTCATCTTCATCCTCTTCCGCCAGACGTTGTTCAATGTCCAACTTGCGTTTGATACCGCGAGTCATGTGCACTTCAACCTCTGGAGCGTCGGTCGAGTTTATATGAATCACTCTCTCCTTGGAGGTTGAGGACAAAGGGCTGTCCACTCTGGGCGCGCCACCCTTCTGGGGCACAAAGCCCATACTGGACATGGATCCCTGAGAGGTACTGGAGGTGTTTGAGGTGTTCGAGTGAGTCCTCACCGGCGACTGCCGCACTGGAGACTGTGTCAGCCCCGATGAAACAGTCGAACTAGAATTATTACTGTCTGTAGAACTACTACGATTGTCTGTTGAGCTTTTCTTAGCTCGACGTCGTTTGGCTAATGGGGCAGTGGCAACATCTTGAAGCCTGAAGCCCTCTTTAGTAGCCATGTGAAAAGCATCCATTGTTACAGACAACTGCACATTGACTGAGCCGGAGAGAACGCCAGGAGTCTTGAGCGGTGTGTGAGAGAAGACCTGTGAGTTGCTGCCGTTGACCCAATCGTTCTTCTGCAGATCTGACATTGTCAAACGCTTCCTTGGTTCCACACGTAATAAACCTGCAAAGAACAAAGTTTATTAACTTCTTAACATACACTCTCCTACCCAGAGTTCCATGCGGCAAGCCACCATAGTACCTCTGATAAAGGAGTCCTGTGAGCATCAGTGACATAATGCTGTATAATGTTAAAGTCTATACAAGTACAAGTGAGTACAAGACAAACCAGGAATTGAAAGTTGAAGTGAGTGAGTTCGGTTTTATGCCACTTTGAGGAATATACCAGCAATTTTGCACGTTGTACTTGTATGGGGAATAGAACCTAGATTATCGAGGTGACTAGCCAGTACTTTTACCTCTAGGCTCCCCAATCACATAAGCAGTAATTGATCTTTGCATAATGAAAGCCACACTGCCCAGTCCCCATTTCAGCTCTTGCTAGATGAAATATCGAGGACCAATTTTGACCTCAAATCCAGATAGGACCATAGCAAAATATTGACAGTTAATTTATTGAAGAGAGGACTATTGGGAGACAGTGACAAAGGACATCAATAACATTAAAAGAAGGGTGAAAGACCAGCAGTTTTTAATCATGTAAACACAGCAATATGCCAGGTGTAATGGATGGAATATACAGTCTTGTGAGATGGAACAGCGATCAATAGTTAATCATAGATGCCATGAGCCAAGTTCGGGCTAGTGGACAGAGAATACACAGTACATTGCTTACCCTTTATAAGTCTTTTAGCTGGCTCTGACACAGACTTCCATTCAGGCAGGGACAAGTCAAACTCTCCTCCCTTGATTCTTGACATGATTGCCTCTGCAGTGTCATCACGACTCTGAGCCTGGAAGGGCGCCTTCCCAGACAACATAGTGTACTGCAAGATCAAGCAGGTGTGTTGATACAGGTAGTGCAGATAATCAAGCAGGTGTGTTGATACAGGTAGTGCAGATAATCATGCGGGTATATTGATACAGGTAGTGCTGATAATCATACAGGTATATTGATACAGGTAGTGCAGATAATCAAGCAGATGTGCTGATACAGGTAGTGCAGATAATCAAGCAGATGTGCTGATACAGGTAGTGCAGATAATCATGCAGGTATATTGATACAGGTAGTGCAGATAATCTTGCAGGTATATTGATACAGGTAGCGTAGATAATCATACAGGTATATTGATACAGGTAGTGCAGATAATCAAGCAGATGTGCTGACACAGGTAGTGCAGATAATCAAGCAGGTGTGCTGGGTGTGTTGATACAGGTAGTGCAGATAATCATGCAGGTAAATTGATACAGGTAGTGCAGATAATCAAGCAGGGTGTGTTGATACAGGTAGTGTGGATAATCAAGCAGGGTGTGTTGATACAGGTAGTGTGGATAATCAAGCAGATGTGCTGATACAGGTAGTGCAGATAATCATGCAGGTGTGTTGATACAGGTAGTGCAGATAATCAAGAAGGGTGTGCTGATACAGGTAGTGCAGATAATCAAGCAGGGTGTGTTGATACAGGTAGTGCAGATAATCAAGCAGGGTGTGTTGATACAGGTAGTGTGGATAATCAAGCAGGGTGTGTTGATACAGGTAGTGCAGATAATCAACCAGGGTGTGTTGATACAGGTAGTGCAGATAATCAAGCAGATGTGCTGATACAGGTAGTGCAGATAATGTGTTGATACAGGTGTGCTGATACAGGTATTGATGGATGCAGATAATCAAGCAGGTGTGTTGATACAGGTAATATGGATAATCAAGCAGGTGTGTTGATACAGGTAGTGAGTGAATGCTGTTGATCGCTGAAGTCAGCAATATTCCAGCTATGTCTGGTTGGCCTGTTAATAATTGACTCTTGTATTGACAAACATGATCGACTGTTTGAGCAATGGTGTATAATGAACAGAATGGCAAAACATCAGCCATGTCACAACATGCATGCTTGTTTTGCTTGTGTCTCTCTTTCTGTCTACATCTGCGTGTGGTTATGTGTGCTTGTGCACGAGCAATCTGATAGATGAGTGAGTGAGTTTAGTTTTTACGCCACACTGAGCAATATTCCAGCTATATGGCGGCGGTCTGTAAATAATCGAGTCTGGACCAGACAATCCAGTAACCAACAGCATGAGCATCGACCTGTGCAATTGGGAACCGATGACCAAGCAAGCGAGCCTGACCACCCGATCCAATTAGTCGCCTCTTACGACAACATGGGTTACTGAAGGTTCATTCTAGCCCGGACCTTCACAGGTGTCTGATGAATGAATGAGCTTGGTTTAACATGGCTGTGAACAAATATTAGTAACATCATTGTATGTCATCTTCAAGAAAGACTTGTGTAATGCTGGACTTGGGATACTATGTCACGTGTCATCCAAGTCTGCGAGCCTGACCACCCGATCCTGTCAGTCGCCTCTGATGACAAGTATGGGTTGCTGGAGATCAATTCTAACCCATATCTTCATGGGTATCTTGACAACAATGTATCCAATGACACACATCTAGATGTTTACTTACCAGGATAACTCCCAGACTCCACAGGTCACATGACTCATCATACCCGGTGTCCCGGTTCGTTGTCTGTCGGAGAACCTCGGGGGCGGCATAGGGAAGGGAAAAGCATGGAGTTTTTAGGGGTTGGTTCTCTGGGTTGAGTCTGGCAAACCCAAAGTCAACAATCTTGATCTCAGCATCATCAGTATTATCCTCAAATATCAGATTCTGAAAAAAAGAAGAAGAAGAATGGTAATCACTCATTACTATCCTGACTCAACAGCAGATTTGTTTGCTTGTTTGTTGTTTAACACTGATCAGATTTTTATCATCCGAAGACAACTGATATCATGAACCAGGCTAGCTATTCTCGAAACGTTCGTAGCCCTACGAACTTCTTAAGCCCATTCTTAATACATTGGCTACGATAAAAGTTAAGAATTCTTAGGGCTACAAACGTTTCGAGAATAAGGGCCCAGGACACTTGGTCTAAGCATGCACTGCATCCAGTGACTACTTAAAACCAACATAATCCAGGAACACCATGGGGCTCAACTGCAACTTAAACAAAACAAAGTTTTGCACTGCTCTAAACGACAATACTTAAATTTGCAGTACACAATAAACACATTTAATACTACACTGCACCTCTATACAGGAGAATGTGCTACAGCTTAAGCATATAGAAGACTGCAATGCACTTTAGCACATATTAAACTGAGCTTGAACTTAAGCATCTGTATACAAAGACTGTGCTGCTGCTGCTGCTGCTGCTGTTGATGAACGTATGAATGTGCTACTCCATGAACACATTTAAGACATCAATATTTCTTACTGATATGAATGACTGTGATAGCACCACCTGTGCAGGGACCTTGAGGTGGCAAGCAGACACATTAGACTGACTGACTGAGTTTGGTTTTACGCCGCTTTTAGCGATATTCCAGCAACATCACGACGGGGGACACCAGAAATGGGCTTCACACATTGTACCCATGTGGGGAGTCGAACCCGGTCTTCGGCGTGATGAGCCAACGCTTTGACCACTAGGCTACCCCACCGGCCCCAGACACATTAGAAAATAAGCCATCCTTGCTATGCCTACCTCTGGTTTCAGATCTCGATGCACAACTCCCTTGAGGTGCATGAAGTCTACTGCTCTCACTAACTTCTGCATTATCTCACTGGCTTCCGTCTCTGTGAAACTCTTCTTTTTCCTAATTCGATCCAGTAGTTCCCCTCCTCTGAGTAACTCCATCACAATGTAGGTGTGGAACTGGGCAACACAAGACATCAACACAGTGCTAAAAACATGCAAGAAATACTCGCATCTCCAACAATCGTATGTTCTATTTTACTCAAAATTCAGGCCCTTTACCATGAAAGATGTCTTGTTCCAAAGTGAGTGAGTGAGTCTGTAAATAATTGAGTCTGGACCAGACAATCCAGTGATCAACATCATGAACATCGATCTGTGCAATTGGGAACCGATGATATGTGTCAACCAAGTCAGCGAGCCTGACCACCCGATCCCATTAGTCGCCTCTTCTACAAGCATAGTCGCCTTTTGTGGCAATCATGGGTTGCTGAAGACCTATTCTACCCCGGAACTTCACGGGTTCTTGTTCCAAAGTGTCAATGACATTTAATAGTGCTGGTGATTGCTCACAATATGCATATCGATAATCAGAGGTCACTAATCGATAAATAATCGATTGTAATCGTTAACCCCACCACAAACTCATGTGGGCAAAAATGGGACACAATCAAAGAATTGTGTTAACAAAACAGGCACCAATTTATTCCATGATCAAGACATTCGAGGATACTTTCTGTTGAGATATGTTGAGATATGTTGAGATATGTTGTTTACATTGCATTTTACAAGGAAACGCATCAGTTGCTTATGTCTTGATTTGATAAACATACAATAAGAAACATTCTTTCGAAAGATTAATTTGATGTTGCATTTTTCATAAATATTGATTTTTCTCCCAAGCTTATGCAAGCAATATCAATCACTTGATCGATTATAAAAGCTTATGAAAGTTTAATTAACAGAAATCTGAAACATACTGACTGAGAAAATGCCATTAACTGTAAAAGACAGCACCATCAGAGGATCAGTATGGAGTGAGTGAGTGGGAAATCAAACCCGGGTCTTCGGTGTGACGAGCCAACGCTTTAACCACTAGGCTACCTCACCGGCCCGGATACGTGTGAGACACAAAGCACATGCTAATCATAGTATCTTAGGTCTCAGGGTCTTTTCTACAGACGTAGAATCGCCACTTGACATAAGTAAAAATACCAACGGCCTTTAGCACCTACCTCGTCGTGATACACATCTTGTAACTGCACGATATTTGGATGACCTTGACACATCCTGAGTAACTGGATCTCCCGATGACATTCCACCCGCCGACTGATTATCTTCACCGCGTATTGAATGCTGGTCTGTTTGTGACGACACTTTCTGAAAACATATATAGATAACAGAATGAATACATTAATGGAAAAGATTTACATTCAAGGCCTCAGGAAGTGACAGATTTCTACGCTGATATATTTTACAGATGGTCACTGACCAAGAATATTACAGAACAAAAGGCACTGACAAACAGGAATAATTTTTAATGAGAGAATCATCACATGTAATTTATGACATCTTTCCAAAGATTGACAATGGAAAGTATCCTGCTAGTCACAATTGTTTATTATTGCCCATCACCTGTCGTTTGTTTGTTGTTTAATGCTGCACTCAACAATGTTTCAGCTAAATGACAACAGCCTATATATCATCAGTGACTGACACCAAGAGCATCAATCTACTATTGATATGCATCCACAAAATGAGTGAGGCTGACCACCCTAGTATGGGTTGCTGAAGTCCAAATCTGTTTGTTTTCAACTGACCTGCATATAGAGAAACTCCCATCTCCTAATGGAGGATCTTTTAGGTCAAGGTCATAGTGCTGGAAGAATGGAGAGTTCTGAAAACAATGGACAAAAACTGTTCTCAAACACATTATAAACATGTTAAAAACAGTGAAATACATGCTGTGCAAAAAGTTGTTAAGAGTTCACAAAAGAGTTAGATCTATTACATGACTACCTGTAACAGAAAACTTTTACTTTCAGTGAACAGAAAACAAGTAAGTTGTCAAGCACTTACTTTGGGATGATTAGGACACTGTGGTTGTCAAGCACTTACTTTGGGATGATTAGGAGACTGGTTGTCAAGCACTTACTTTGGGATGAGTAGGACAATGTGGTTGTCAAGCACTTACTTTGGTATGATTGGGACACTGTGTTTGTCAAACACTTACTTTAGGATGATTAGGAGACTGGTTGTCAAGCACTTACTTTGGGATGATTAGGACACTGTGGTTGTCAAGCACTTACTTTGGGATGTCAAGCACTTACTTTAGGATGATTAGGACACTGTGGTTGTCAAGCACTTACTTTAGGATGATTAGGAGACTGTGGTTGTCAAGCACTTACTTTGGGATGATTAGGACAATGTGGTTGTCAAGCACTTACTTTGAGATGATTAGGACAATGTGGTTGTCAAGCACTTACTTTGAGATGACTAGTACAGAGAAGGTTGGACTCATCAGGCTGGTGTTCCCGGGTGGGGTGAAGTAGACTACTGCTGATAGTGTTCTCGGTGAAGATGATGGACGGAGCCACATAGGAATAGCCCTGCAATAACAAACAAACTCTGTAAAACACATGAAACCAAGTAACTTTGACATCAGAATATATATACTGGAAAACAGACAACCAACAAGCATCATCATATCTTATAATAGCCAGATGATATACAACCTTGAGAAGGGTTCGATCACTACGTAATGATATGGTGTATGTCAGGGGCATTGGTGGCGTAGGTATCCTAGAGTTACATCCCTTAGGCATATAAGGATCCTCAGTCAATAACTAGATTTGCTCTGACAACATCTAGGACATGCATCTTGTACACTGTACCAGAATACATGAAGGTTGTCAGGCACACTAACTTTGAGATGACCAGCACAATCAAGGTTGTCAGGCACACTTAACTTTGAGATGACCAGCACAATCATGGTTGTCAGGCACACTTAACTTTGAGATGACCAGCACAATCATGGTTGTCAGGCACACTTAACTTTGAGATGACCAGCACAATCATGGTTGTCAAGCACACTAACTTTGAGATGACCAGCACAATCAAGGTTGTCAGGCACACTAACTTTGAGATGACCAGCACAATCAAGGTTGTCAAGCACACTAACTTTGAGATGACCAGCACAATCAAGGTTGTCAGGCACACTAACTTTGAGATGACCAGCACAATCATGGTTGTCAGGCACACTAACTTTGAGATGACCAGCACAATCAAGGTTGTCAGGCACACTAACTTTGAGATGACCAGCACAATCATGGTTGTCATCACACTAACTTTGAGATGACCAGCACAATCAAGGTTGTCAGGCACACTAACTTTGAGATGACCAGCACAATCAAGGTTGTCAGGCACACTAACTTTGAGATGACCAGCACAATCAAGGTTGTCAGGCACACTAACTTTGAGATGACCAGCACAATCAAGGTTGTCAGGCACACTTAACTTTGAGATGACCAGCACAATCATGGTTGTCAGGCACACTTAACTTTGAGATGACCAGCACAATCATGGTTGTCATCACACTAACTTTGAGATGACCAGCACAATCATGGTTGTCAGGCACACTAACTTTGAGATGACCAGCACAATCATGGTTGTCAGGCACACTAACTTTGAGATGACCAGCACAATCAAGGTTGTCAGGCACACTAACTTTGAGATGACCAGCACAATCAAGGTTGTCAGGCACACTTAACTTTGAGATGACCAGCACAATCATGGTTGTCAGGCACACTTAACTTTGAGATGACCAGCACAATCATGGTTGTCATCACACTAACTTTGAGATGACCAGCACAATCATGGTTGTCAGGCACACTAACTTTGAGATGACCAGCACAATCAAGGTTGTCAGGCACACTAACTTTGAGATGACCAGCACAATCAAGGTTGTCAGGCACACTTAACTTTGAGATGACCAGCACAATCATGGTTGTCAGGCACACTTAACTTTGAGATGACCAGCACAATCATGGTTGTCATCACACTAACTTTGAGATGACCAGCACAATCATGGTTGTCAGGCACACTAACTTTGAGATGACCAGCACAATCAAGGTTGTCAGGCACACTAACTTTGAGATGACCAGCACAATCATGGTTGTCAGGCACACTAACTTTGAGATGACCAGCACAATCAAGGTTGTCAGGCACACTAACTTTGAGATGACCAGCACAATCAAGGTTGTCAGGCACACTTAACTTTGAGATGACCAGCACAATCATGGTTGTCAGGCACACTTAACTTTGAGATGACCAGCACAATCATGGTTGTCAGGCACACTAACTTTGAGATGACCAGCACAATCAAGGTTGTCAGGCACACTAACTTTGAGATGACCAGCACAATCATGGTTGTCAGGCACACTAACTTTGAGATGACCAGCACAATCAAGGTTGTCAGGCACACTTAACTTTGAGATGACCAGCACAATCAAGGTTGTCAGGCACACTAACTTTGAGATGACCAGCACAATCAAGGTTGTCAGGCACACTAACTTTGAGATGACCAGCACAATCAAGGTTGTCAGGCACACTTAACTTTGAGATGACCAGCACAATCATGGTTGTCAGGCACACTAACTTTGAGATGACCAGCACAATCAAGGTTGTCAGGCACACTAACTTTGAGATGACCAGCACAATCATGGTTGTCATCACACTAACTTTGAGATGACCAGCACAATCAAGGTTGTCAGGCACACTAACTTTGAGATGACCAGCACAATCAAGGTTGTCAGGCACACTAACTTTGAGATGACCAGCACAATCAAGGTTGTCAGGCACACTAACTTTGAGATGACCAGCACAATCAAGGTTGTCAGGCACACTTAACTTTGAGATGACCAGCACAATCATGGTTGTCAGGCACACTTAACTTTGAGATGACCAGCACAATCATGGTTGTCATCACACTAACTTTGAGATGACCAGCACAATCATGGTTGTCAGGCACACTAACTTTGAGATGACCAGCACAATCATGGTTGTCAGGCACACTAACTTTGAGATGACCAGCACAATCAAGGTTGTCAGGCACACTAACTTTGAGATGACCAGCACAATCAAGGTTGTCAGGCACACTTAACTTTGAGATGACCAGCACAATCATGGTTGTCAGGCACACTTAACTTTGAGATGACCAGCACAATCATGGTTGTCATCACACTAACTTTGAGATGACCAGCACAATCATGGTTGTCAGGCACACTAACTTTGAGATGACCAGCACAATCAAGGTTGTCAGGCACACTAACTTTGAGATGACCAGCACAATCAAGGTTGTCAGGCACACTTAACTTTGAGATGACCAGCACAATCATGGTTGTCAGGCACACTTAACTTTGAGATGACCAGCACAATCATGGTTGTCATCACACTAACTTTGAGATGACCAGCACAATCATGGTTGTCAGGCACACTAACTTTGAGATGACCAGCACAATCAAGGTTGTCAGGCACACTAACTTTGAGATGACCAGCACAATCATGGTTGTCAGGCACACTAACTTTGAGATGACCAGCACAATCAAGGTTGTCAGGCACACTAACTTTGAGATGACCAGCACAATCAAGGTTGTCAGGCACACTTAACTTTGAGATGACCAGCACAATCATGGTTGTCAGGCACACTTAACTTTGAGATGACCAGCACAATCATGGTTGTCAGGCACACTAACTTTGAGATGACCAGCACAATCAAGGTTGTCAGGCACACTAACTTTGAGATGACCAGCACAATCATGGTTGTCAGGCACACTAACTTTGAGATGACCAGCACAATCAAGGTTGTCAGGCACACTTAACTTTGAGATGACCAGCACAATCAAGGTTGTCAGGCACACTAACTTTGAGATGACCAGCACAATCAAGGTTGTCAGGCACACTAACTTTGAGATGACCAGCACAATCAAGGTTGTCAGGCACACTTAACTTTGAGATGACCAGCACAATCATGGTTGTCAGGCACACTTAACTTTGAGATGACCAGCACAATCATGGTTGTCAGGCACACTTAACTTTGAGATGACCAGCACAATCAAGGTTGTCAGGCACACTAACTTTGAGATGACCAGCACAATCAAGGTTGTCAGGCACACTTAACTTTGAGATGACCAGCACAATCAAGGTTGTCAGGCACACTTAACTTTGAGATGACCAGCACAATCAAGGTTGTCAGGCACACTAACTTTGAGATGACCAGCACAATCATGGTTGTCAGGCACACTTAACTTTGAGATGACCAGCACAATCAAGGTTGTCAGGCACACTAACTTTGAGATGACCAGCACAATCAAGGTTGTCAGGCACACTTAACTTTGAGATGACCAGCACAATCATGGTTGTCAGGCACACTTAACTTTGAGATGACCAGCACAATCATGGTTGTCATCACACTAACTTTGAGATGACCAGCACAATCAAGGTTGTCAGGCACACTAACTTTGAGATGACCAGCACAATCATGGTTGTCAGGCACACTAACTTTGAGATGACCAGCACAATCATGGTTGTCAAGCACTTACTTTGATATGACTAGTATGCTCCAATCCTATGCAATTCAGTTACATAGCTGATAACATATATCATAATGTTACATGACTCTTTTCCCTCACTCACTCAATGCATGTGCATGATCTCACCTTGAACAGTTTCTCCCCGTTCATGGGAACAATGGCCGGGGAGTCTGCAGCCTGCATCGCGGTGAACTCTTCCGAGAAGTTGCTCACATCCAGCTCATGCCGAATTTTGGGCACAAATGGTGCTGGAACTTTCTTCCGTGACAGATCTTGCCAGTTCAGGCCCTGACAAGTACCAGATAAAACTGTATACATCATGGAACCAAAGAGTAACACTTAAGCAGCATAAAACAACACTCACTCACTCACTCTTGTTAGCAATTCTCTGACCATCAAGGCCCAGTTGCTGTTATAGGTACGCTGATTTCTCATCATGTAAATACATACGTTTAACTAAGTGTCAAAAAGACAGGAAGGTCCCTGAATCAGACGAGTGAGAGAGTCAGTTTAGTTTTACGCCGTACTCAGCAATATTTTAGCTACATGGCGGTGGTCTGTAAATAATCGAGTCTGGACCAGACCATCCAGTGATCAACATTATGAGCATCGATCTGTGCAATTGTGATACGATGACACGTCAACTAAGTCAGCCAGTCTGACCACCCGATCCCATTAGTCGCCTCTTACGACAACCATGGGTTACCAAAGATCAATTCTAACTCGGATCTCCATGGGTTCTTAATCAAACCGAGATTATGTAAATGTTTCACACAAAGAATTGTCATCTTCATATATTACTTAAAATCGCCAATGAAGCATACAACTTTATCGATGACAACTGCTTGCTTATTGCATAGAGTGACGTTTCTGTGTAGATTCTTACATCATTATCAAGCTAAAAGTTGTACGTTCCATTATTGACTCACCAACTTCTAGAATGCTGTTCAAACAGTTGAAATCACTGGTTTATTTTAACTTGAGCACACATTTCTTGATTGTCTATTTACATAATATCCCTAAGTTACCGAGTTGAAAAATCCCTCTAGTGGACCTGTGAGATTCGGCAAGTTTGTTAGTTTCTTTACAAATTTCTTGTACAGTTCACTGGGCATGACAACAGCATGTATGATACTAAAAGTTTTGAAAATAATCATAAAAGTACAGTTACAATTGTATTCAAGCATCAAAACTTGTTGAGGAGTACATTCAATTTTGTTCAATATTGTTCTTTTCAATAATATGCTCATCAACATTAGTTATATCCCATAATACCATTAGAAAATATTCTTCAGAAATACTATTTGGCTCGATACATGAGATGTTAATGTATCTCCTTTCATGCTATGATAATATAATTGATCATACAATATTTGTGGCCAAAACCAAATAGCACTGTAAAATATGTCGAAGCTGAATTCACAGGAAGGATTTTCTTTAGAAATAACTCTACATCTACTAGACTTGGGAAGTTTGTTCTCACCTTGAAAAAAGGATGTTTCTTGATAGCATCAGCCCCATTAGAGCCGAGTCGTTTCAAAGGATCCTTTGTCAACAATCGTAGAATGAACTCCTTGGCTTCCGATGAGAAATCACTCGGAATTGGAGGGTTGCACTTTAATATTCTCCTGACAAAATACATTAGACAAATGTACAACAAATAAAAAACAAATTTAAAATTATATGCTGATATGTTCAGAGTGAGTGAGTGAGTTAATATTTAACGTCACATCGGCAATATCTCAGCCATATCGTGACGAAAACAATTTATACAATAAAAAGTGAAAACATTTTGAAGATTAAAACCTGTCGACGAGGGACAGTAAAAATACTACATGATATGTTCAGAAAATGTGGCAAACTATAAAATACACATTAATCACTGAACTAATGTGAACACAAAGACATTGAATCCCGTGGTGATTATGTATGGTCCACTTACTTTGATATTTCAGACTGTGAGTTCTTCTCTCCATCCACTGTGAAGGGGGATGCCCCGGTGAGCAGCTCATATGTCAGGACACCCAGGGACCACCAGTCTACAGCCTGGGAACAGACACATACATGAGTAAATACATGTACTGACACCAGGTGTTCCAGTCTATACAGTACCCTACAGCCTGGGGACATGTATACAGACAGGTAAATACATGTACTGACACCAGGTGTTCCAGTCTATACAGTACCCTACAGCCTAGGAACACGTATAGACAGGTAAATAATGTACTGACACCAGGTGTCCCAGTCTATACAGTACCCTACAGCCTAGGAACACGTATACAGACAGGTAAATACATGTACAGACACCAGGTGTTCCAGTCTATACAGTACCCTACAGCCTAGGAACACGTATACATACAGGTAAATACATGTACAGACACCAGGTGTTCCAGTAGGTCCAGTACTATTCAGCCTGGAAACAAACATAGACAAGTAAATACATGTACAGACACCAGGTGTTCCAGTCAATACATTACCCTACAGCATGGGAACAGACACATACAGACAGGTAAATACATGTACACACACCAGGTGTTCCAGTCAATACAGTACTCTGGTCACAGGTGAGGCTCTCACTTAGATAATCTGAGATCAAGAGATCTGAATCACACAGTAACATTGTATTACAACCATATGTCATACAGTTAAATATAAGGGAACCAACCAGTGTCACACAATAATAACATCCAGGAACTAGTGTCACACAGCAATACTAATTATGAGCTGAGGTACATTGTAATAACAACCAGGAACCAGTGGTACATGGTAATAACCAGGAACCAGTCTAACAGTAATAACAAAACATGAGGTAGTGTTATGCAGTAATATCAACCAGGAGTTTGTCTTACACAGTAATAACCAGCAAAACAATCAGGAACCAGTGTATCACAGTAATTACAAACATGAGGTAGTGTTATGCAGTAATATCAACCAGGAGTTTGTCTTACACAGTAATTACCAGCAAAACAATCAGGAACCAGTGTATCACAGTAATAACAAAACAAGAGGTAGTGTTATGCAGTAATATCAACCAGGAGTTTGTCTTACACAGTAATAACCAGTAAAACAACCAGGAACCAGTGTATCACAGTAATAACAAAACATGAGGTAGTGTTATGCAGTAATATCAACCAGGAGTTTGTCTTACACAGTAATAACCAGCAAAACAATCAGGAACCAGTGTATCACAGTAATAACAAAACATGAGGTAGTGTTATGCAGTAATATCAACCAGGAGTTTGTCTTACACAGTAATAACCAGCAAAACAATCAGGAACCAGTGTATCACAGTAATAACAAAACATGAGGTAGTGTTATGCAGTAATATCAACCAGGAGTTTGTCTTACACAGTAATAACCAGCAAAACAATCAGGAACCAGTGTATCACAGTAATAACAAAACATGAGGTAGTGTTATGCAGTAATATCAACCAGGAGTTTGTCTTACACAGTAATAACATCCACCAACCAGTGATAGACAGTAATAACAACTCACAATAATTGTCACACAATGGATACTTCCAAGAACCAGTGCTACACAGTAACAACATCCAGGAACTAGTGGTACATTTTAATACACAATCATGAGTTGTTGCTATGAAATGTAACAAGCTGGAACCAGTGTTACACAGTATAACAATCATGAGATAGTGTTACGCAGCATAACAAAGTGGAAGGGGTGTTACACAATGTAACAACCTGGAGCCTGTGTTACACAGTATAAAAAATATGAGCTAGTGTCATGCAATATGGAACCTGTTACAAAGTCCAAACTTGTAACCAGTGTTACACAGCAGGCCAACTAGCCAGTGTTCAAAACTATCAACTCACAAAATCATGGCCAGATCTTCCTTGAACGACCTCAGGTGCCATGTATTCAATTGTCCCGCAGAACGAGTATGCTCGATGAGTCTGTTTGGGAAGAAATCAGCATTTAACACACAACATCTTGTTAATAACAACATTGAAATACACCATTCACAACACATCAACAACATTATTTACCATGAGATAACACATCCTGCACATGAACAACAATATAACTACACCATTTAACCAGAGATGCCACCCCTAATTTAGCCCAATTAGTACTTATGCCAAAAACTGATGCAAAAATTTGTACTTTTTGGCCAAAATTAGTATTGACTTTTCCAAAGAATTTTAATATTTAATAAAGAATAAATAGATATTCTAAGAACTTGTTATTAATATTGTGCTCAACTAAATCAGTAGTAAATATCCACATATAGCTTGATAATGAATAAAATGTTTGAAATTTACTGTGTATGGTATGTATGCAATTTCATAATTAATTTTATTATTCTAAAAACAAAATCGTACAGTTTTACTGCTATCTTAGTCGCGTATTTTGTGTTGTTTTTTCCTAATGAATACAATAAAATCGTATGGGTTGGCATCTCTGATTTCACACACAAATACAGCAATATTTCTTCTTGTCGTGGGTAACGCCAGCTTGCTTGTTTACTGTCAACTGAGAATGAATCTGCCACAGACTGAAAGATAGTGAGTGAGTGAGTGAGTGAGTGTATAATTGAACTGCAATATTCTAAGCTTATCCAGGATCAGGTACCTACAATGGACTTCATGTCATGTACTCCTGAAGGAAATCAAAAACACACTATGCTGCCTAAGACAGAAAGACATGTAAGGAGGCAAACTCACAGCATCGCTAGCGAGGAACTCCTTGCTGAGTCCGAAGTCTGTCAGGATGATATGTCCATGGGAGTCCAGCAGGATGTTCTCCAGCTTGATGTCCCGGTAGATAATGCCCAGCTGGAACACCAACATTAAACATTGTACACTTGGGATGCCACGATACATCGACTGACTGACTGACTGAGTTTAGTTTTACGCCGCTTTTAGCAATATTCCAGCAATATCACGGCGGGGGACACCAGAAATGGTACGATACATCGAAATGTCCATACTTTTTCTAAGACAATACAATTATCAATAAGTTCAAAACTGTATCGATATTTAGTTTTGAAAGCACTGGTTTAAATATGTTTATGCAACATTTACATTTTGCAATTGTATCATGTTTTTTTATGTTGTGAGAGTTAAACATGATACAATTGCAAAATGTAAACGATACACAAATATATTTAAACCGATACTTTCAAAACTAAATATCAATATAGTTTTGAACAGATCGATAATTGTATCATCTTAGAAAAAGTATCGATGCATCGTGGCATCCCTAGATCATATAAGTATGTACAAGCACTCTCCGCATCCTCACTGCCTACACTTCCACTTGACAACACTGCAGCATTCAGACACCCCATGAATGTTAAGTGGTGGTTAATGTAACAGTTACTGATAACAGCAATGATCTAATGCATGATGTATGATCTTGTCTCTTGAGGCAAATGAGTCTTAAGTGTTTTGCGATTCCCGTGCCACACATGACACCAGCTCATACAACCAGATCAACCTTTCTGATCCTATTGTTAATCAATGATAAAGTACAGCAGCCACACAGTCGTAGCTTCTAGAACTACACGAGGACCAGGTCCCCCGTGTGTTATTAGTGAAGTCCAACCCAACCCTCAATCACCTTGTGAAGGGTCTCCAGGGCTAAGACGATCTCTCCAATATAGATTCTAACTTCAGACTCTCTGAAGTGTTCCTTCTGGTAGAGGTGTGTGAACATCTCACCTCCGCCAACGTAGTCTGCCATGAAAAAAGAGGACATATTACTAATCCTATCTCTAGTGATGAAATACATTTTACTGCTTGTATTTAACACCAAACTCAGCAATATTTCAGCTACATGACAGTGACCTGTAAATACTCGAGTGTGGTCCAGTGGTTGATATGGTGAGCAATTATCCATGATATCAGGGTACAATTACATGAAGTCAAGGAAATCACCAAGCTCGACCACTGACAACACGTTCGTTTGTCGTTTAACGCCGCACTCAGCAATATTCCAGCTATATGACAGTGACCTGTAAATACTCGAGTGTGGTCCAATGGTTGATTTGGTGAGCAATTATCCATGATATCAGGGTACAATTACATGAAGTCAAGGAAATCACCAAGCTCGACCACTGACAACACGTTCGTTTGTCGTTTAACGCCGCACTCAGCAATATTCCAGCTATATGACAGTGACCTGTAAATACTCGAGTGTGGTCCAGTGGTTGATATGGTGAGCAATTATCCATGATATCAGGGTACAATTACGTGAAGTAAAAAAAATCACCAAGCTCGACCACTGACAACACGATCGTCTGTCGTTTAACGCCGCACTCAGCAATATTCCAGCTACATGACAGTGACCTGTAAATACTCGAGTGTGGTCCAGTGGTTGATATGGTGAGCAATTATCCATGATATCTGGGTACAATTACATGAAGTCAAGGAAATCACCAAGCTCGACCACTGACAACACGATCGTTTGTTGTTTAACGCCGCACTCAGCAATATTCCAGCTAAATGTTTCAGTGAATGGTATCATCTGGTTATACACTGCAATGGCTGCAATAAGTCACCATAGTGATGGTATAAGTGATGGTATAACTGATGGTATAAGTGATGGCAAAGTGATGGCAAAGTGATGGCCTGGCTGCATGATCACTTAATATAAGCTGGTCTTGATCAATACACGCCACCTTCATTGGTAGGATCACTGACAACCTTGACAATGAGAAGGCTACCAGTCACATCTGTGAGAGACATTGATCATTTTGGGACAGAGTATTATATTGTCAGTTAAGCTGTGAACAGGAGGTGACCCTTGGCGAATAAATCTTACTGTGGTTTCTTAGAGCAGGCCACACAAGGGTCAGTGACAATAGGACGTTTTTTCAGCTAGATCAACTTTGAAGAAGTGAGAGTTGCGTATCGCTTGCTTGATAACAGCATCTACACCAAAACATCTATTGCAAGAAAGAGGTTGTCTATCCATAAACATTGTACCTCTTCATCAGAGCAGTTTCTATATGTCACTTGAAAATATTGAAGTGTGAGTGAATGAGTTTGGTTTTACGTCGCTTTTAGCAATATTCCAGCAATATCATGGAGGGGGACACCAGAAATGGGCTTCACACATTGTACCCATGTGGGGAATCAAACCTGGGTCTTTGGCATGACAAACGAATGCTTTAACCACTAGACTACCCACTGCCCCAAAGATACTGAAGAAGTGTGTTTACCCAGAATCAGATGGAGCTTGGCATCGGTCTGGAAGGCATAATGGAGTGTGACCAGGAAGGGCGACTGTCGGATGGCCTCGAGAACTTGTCTCTCGGTCTTTGTGTGTTCTGTTGTCTTCGTCTTCTGCACTATGCTGGCCTTTTTTAAAACCTTCATGGCATACAGCTTCTTGTCATCTGAACCGCCGACTTTACGCACCAGGAACACCTTTCCGTAAGCTGCAGAAACACAACAAAAAGTCCAATTGCAACATTCAACTGTTTGCTGTCTTATCCCAGTCATCACTGATCTAGCCATATCACATCAACATGTCATCACAACAAACCTGGCCACACAGAACTGGTAGTGATTGATGTAATCAGCAATGTCCGATGTTGCTAGATTAGGTTGGTTGGTTTGTTGTTTAACTCCGCCCTCAGCAATATTCCAGCTATATCGCGACGGTCTGTTAATAACCGAGTCTGCACCAGACAATCCAGTGATCAACAGCATGAGCATCAATCTTTGCAATTGGGATACGATGACATGCGTTAGCAAGCCTGACCACCCGATCTCATTAGTCGCCTCTTACGACAAGCATGGGTTAATAAAGACCAATTCTAACCTGGATCTTCACTGGTACACACTTCACAGGTCTGCTGCATAAGGGCCACAGCAATCACTGAGCTGGGCAAACCGATCTAATTAAGTCACTTATTCAATCAAACAATAATGCCAATGGGCTGGTAACATTTACAGCAAGCTGTGTGGCACAAAAACAGCAATCACGTAAGATTTTATGGAACAAAAAAATAGCAAAAATGTTTTCTCTCACCTCCAGTTCCTAAAACTTTCAGCAATTCGAAGTCCTCCATTCCAACCCTCTCCTTCCCACTGCCAGTCATGTTCACTGAAAGAGGAATAGATTAACTTATAAAATTACCATTGCTACATTAATCAACAAAAAAGTTCCTGGGGGAATAGCATCACACAAATTCACAACAGTTATTACCATGATTAGCACCAAACGGTTTCCTAAGAGCTGTGCTCAGCTGAGAACTATACCACAACTATTACTGAAAAATACCAAAACGTGCTGATGAGAAATGACAACAGATCTTAAGCATTGAACATTACAGCTAATGGTCCAACACAAGAATCTGAAATGATGTATTTGCACCAGTTACATAAACTGGGCATCATTCATATGCCATGGTTTCTCAGGAAAAGCAATCAAATATGATCCCAATGAACCGATCCGGCTTGCTAGCCATTTAAAATAAAAAGCTATCAGTTGATAAAACCATTGTATCATGTAGAATTGTATCCTTCCCAGGGGTGGAAATAACTTTAAAATTGCTAGTGTACTCTGGTACAGTGGCACATGTGAAATCACTTGCCCTGAATTTTTTTCCACTATACCGGCTGTTTTCTTGTTGAATTTTTAAAATAAACAACATAATTAACATTGGAAAGTCAACTGGACACCGGTACAGTGTGATATACAAATTTGCTTGCCCGACAGAAAAAAACACTGGACTCGGACGTCAGGCAATGGGTTATTTCCACCCCTGCTTCCTTCCACTCAGATCCTCCCCATCCACATCAACACTTGTTGGTCCATATCTATATATAGCAAAGTATAGAGGCAAGTCAATCATCACCACAATCCCAGGCTTTGAGGACTGATTGCTGACTGTATAAAGTGTGTCATGCTGATGAAACATTAATATGACTTACTTCTGTCTCTAAATTAACACTGGTCAGTAGAAGGCAGTGTGTATAGGTTGACCTTTACTGACAAGAGACAAGGATTTCTTTGATCCAGGCAGAATGAGCTTTTGGTTGGACATACAACGAAACTACATACAGATACAACCATCTTCGATCAAATCATCTGCATTAATATTTCCAAGCCTGGCAGACAGTGAAATAAAAAGGTATGACTGAAGTGTTAGTAATTATGACTGAAATCTAGTGTTACTGTTAATTTCTATTAACACAAGATTCAAGACTAGTTTGTGATTCTAGGAAGTGGTAAGGGACTCAACGATCACACAGCAGGTAGACATGAATAGCTAAGCAGCATGTATGATGTACTGAACATGAACTTGGTGGCCCTAACGGTTAATAGGTTGGTGCACTCACTGAAGTGCATAAAGGCTGATATTTAGTTGTTATTTTGTTTAATTGTTGGTGTTATTTCTAAACCTTCTGTATTTGTCAGTGCATGCTGCCGATGATTACACAGATTACTGCATAAATAATCTACTTTTGGAAACCCCTGGAGATCCGGCCAACCCATGCTTGTCATAAGAGGTGACTCAAAGGATTGGGTGGTCAGCCTCGCTACTTGGTTGACACAAGTCATCGTATCCCAATTGCGTAGATTGATGCTCATACTGTTGATTGCTGGATTGTCTGTTCCAGACTTGATTGTTTACAGACTGCCGCCACATAGCTAGAATAGTGGGGAGTGCGGTGCTGTGTTGAACGACAAACAAAACTACATATGAACATCTTAAAGAAACAGTGCTGCATGACGAGGCAGAATAATACCATGCCTTCCTTGTAGTGCAGCCAGTGTTGTCTGCATGTTGACAGCCCACTAAACATTACATGGTTATCCATTACTTCATTTGGCAGATGGCTTAAGACAAGTCATTTATTAACACAATAAATCAAACATATACAAGTGGTAACATGAGGCAGCAAAATATGGTAACAGATATGTGGTGTAAACTTGGGTGGAAGTTCAGTTTCAGAGTTTCAGGCCTATAATCAATGACAGTGTTTGCACATTATCCATGTGCACACACATATATGGTGCTCATGGGAAAGGTGAGGTGAGGTGAAATTGGGTTTTACGTTGTGCTTGAGAATATTTCGCTCATATGACGACGTGCATGCGTGTGTATGTGTATGTGTGGCTGCTTGTACTAGCCCAGACTTAAGCTGGTTTTATAGCGCTAGCCCACTGAGATACCATGCCGCAGTGAAGCACGAATACCCCAATCAGACACATTATACTGACTCCGAGCCGACCAGTCCTTGATGTACCCATTAATGCCGAGCGCCAGGCAGGGACCAGCAAGTACCATATTTTAACGTCTTTTGGTAGGACGGGCGGACGGGCGGACCATATTTTAACGTCTTTTGGTAGTCCGGGCGGACGCTCTAACCACTACACCACGGAGGCGGTCGCTGATGGGAAAGGCAGTCTGTGACTAACGTGTGGTCCGACTCGTAAAAGTTCTTTTGGGTTAGTACGTATTGCAAGTTTTGCAAATTCATACAGGGTTTTACCTCGACTCACAAACATGGGGGTCCAGGGGACCTCTAATTATTAGTCTTAAGGGTCCTTGCAGGCAATATGAGGGTCAAGTGAAGTAACGGTGAAGAGAACTGAATGTTTTGATAATTTCTTTAGAGCCTGGAATGAATCATTGATCATGTGGACTGATGGATGAAATGATGCAGGTAACTGCTCTGAAAGAAACAACCCAACACTTAGTAAAGTCACAGATGTATTGTGGGTACAGTGTATAATATTGTGCGTCCCTATGGATGCAGTGAATTATTCTTCTGTGTCCATTCTCTACATTTGTGTGTACTGGACGCACATTTGCACATCGCGTAAAACTTTTTCATACATTCACATTTGGATCTACTGAACATGATTTCAGGAGACCAGTTCAGATAGAAGTGATTTGAGTTTGAGTTCAAGTATTTTCGAACGGTATTCCAGTTATATTACGGCGAGTCAGCTTAAAATGTGAGTAAAGCCAGAAGTAATGCAAGTTTCAGATGTTGACAACTTTGGTGAAACTCACCAGCGTGGGCATATGCTGACATACCTAGAAACATTAACAGGGCAAACAGGGCAAACAATGATTCCATCACACAATGCTAGGGTTCTAGTGTGGCCATGGCCGCATTGTGGATAGCGAATTGCAGTGCCTCAGACAACTAGGACTTTGGTCCACCAATTTGGTCCAAAAGGCTCTAGAGTTGTGGACACAGATAGCTGAAGTGACTGCAGAAATTCTGACACATAGAAACCAAATTGTGTGACGTTAAACTATATTTTCAGTCTGTTTGCATGGAGGTTTTACTTTGAACACAGGTCTGGGAAATGGCTGATGCTGCATTATACAATATTCACTCACTCACTCACTCACTCACTATAATGAAGCATATCAGTGACACATCTGTACACCACACTGCTGTAGTGCTGTTTAATTATTTGCGCAAATATAAATTTATTCATTTATTCAACAAATAGACCAAAAAATCTCTTCAAACCGCTGTCTGCTTGATTTCAAATTAAAACATGGACCACATGTGACATATCGACACATCTGTTACTGTGTTAAGGCAGATTGTGTTCATATCACTTCGCTGCTTGCTAATATATATAGATTAATGACTGTACCACATAAGAAGACAGAAGTACTTCAGCCAGTGTTAAACCAAACAGTGACAACTGGCACATTACTTTTTGAAAAGTGTGCCAACAATATTTGAAAGTCAAAGTGTGTCAAGTTGACGATTAGGTGGGTGAAATGGGGTCTAACTTTGAATTCGAGATTTGGCACTTCTATATAACAACATGCATGCATGGATGCATGTGCCAGTGTGAACTAGTGCTGGTTTAATAGTGTTGAGACGTCACGCTGCAGTTTAACAGGACTCCGAGCTGCCATGTCCTTGTTTCATTTTATCCCCTTATTTTCAAGCAACAAGTACCATCCTTGAACATCTTTTTGTACAGAAGAACCGATGACCGTCTGCTCTCTGGGAGGACACTTTACACTATTGGTGGCCCGATTAGTTGAAATATTCGAAGATTGGTCACAATGACTAAACGACCAGGCAATCGATCATGTTTTCTCATAACCAAACACAAACAATTTGGGAACACTTGTTTGCATTAACAACATTTTTCACAAGGTTGGTTTTCGTTACATTTCATAAGCACTACAAGCTCGTTTCTTGTCATGATGGAATTTATCTTAAAGACTCCAGGAAATTTATGTTCCTAACATACTAGTCATCCTTTAAGTTGTGAAATTTGTAATGCATTTTATGCAATTTTCAAAGAAAAAACCCTGAAAGAACTACATATTTTTTCTATATTTTTTGTGCATTAACAAACATAACCAAGAGAATTTGATAAATGACGCTAACCAATTATTTTCAATTATTGATCGGTTGTAATGAACCAATCATCAATTGTGAGATTATAACCAATTCCCAACACTACTTCACACATTCTTGTTCTAACCAATCAACATTTCTCACTGCAGCAACTGATGCTGAAGACATCATGAACTATGTTAATTTACATATAGTCTACACGTTCTAAGGTACATCTAGCACCAAAAATATACTCACAGAACCCAATAAGGTAACACATGAAAGTGAAAGTGTTCCTTTATTTATTTCCAGAATTTCACTCACAGTGAAATACATACCTTGCGAAGAAACCTGGTAAAGAATAAAGGAACACTTGTACTTTCAGTGTTCCCTTATTCGTTTCCATGAGTATATTTTTGTAAAACAAATTGTAATTGATGCAACTTTTAACTCAGAGTTCGGAAATACTGGTCCTAACACTAATCAGACACAAATTTTGTGTTTTTCAAAAACCCATTGTGATCATTGGGGCATGCCTCATCTGCACAAACAGCAGTAAAGTGAACCAGTATGAAAGGTAACCAGTTAAAAAAATTGTTTAACCAATGAAATATATCATACGCTTTTGTAAAAATAGGCATAAAGCTAATCTGGAAATTAATAGCAGATATGTACATTAACTATCTATTTCTGTGACTCTTGTCATTGAAAAAAAATGGCACTTAAAAAATTTATAGCCTATTGAAGTATTGCAACTGCATAATCATATAT